CAAAAATAAAAAAAGATAGATCTTTTTTTTTTCAATATATTTCTCTTACTGGCAGTCTTCTTCTTTTTACCAAAGACCATATTAATTCCTTTCACCTGTTGATAAACTCCTTTTCTAGTTAATGGTATTAAAGCCATTTGATATTCTTGTGAGTCATTAAATGCCTTCTTCAACTCATGGTAAGGGTGGTGCCAATTAAGAAACTTTTTGTGACCACGGTAGATTGTCTTTCTTCCATATTTAAGTTGCATGTAGTGAGTGACTTCTTCGCATATCGGACATACTTTATGTCCCTTAACATTGTATCATGACAAATTTATATATGTCGGAAAGTCATTTATCATGATGAAGATCATAGCACGTAAATTGAAGGTCTCTTGTTTATATGCATCGAACACATCAACACATTCCTCCCATAATTTCTCTAGGTCCTCAATCAGAGATGCCAAATACACATTGATATCGCTTCCCGGCTGATTTCGCCCTAAGATCATCAAAGATAGCATGACATACTTTCTTTTCATATATAACCAAGAAGGCAAATTGTAAATTATTAGGAGCACTGGCCAAGCACTGTATGTGCTATTAAGAGTACCATATGGATTAATTCCATCTGTACAAAGCCCTAGACAAAGGTTTCTTGGCTCACTAATGAATTGAGAAAATTTTTGATCTATTATTTTCCATTGAGGAGAATATGCTAGGTGACGAAGTTTTCCATCATATATTTTCTTATCAGAATGCCATCTCAAGTTCTTTGCTCCTATGGTATTAACAAATAAACGCTTAAATTATGGTATTATTGAAAGATACCACAAAACCTTCAAAGGAGGACATTTGGTCATCTTATTATAATTACCATGGTTTTTCTTAACTTTGTATCTTAAAGTCCCATATTTAGAACACTTATTCAACTTTTCATATTCATTTCTGAACAAGATATAGTCATTAGGATACGTACATATCTTCTCATATTCTAAACCCATTAGACACAAAATTTTCTTTGCCTCATACATTCGTTTTGAAAGTGAATTCTCTTTTGGAAGAATATCACTCAACAATTCAAATAATTTCGTAAAACTAGCATTGGTTCAACCATTTCTTACTTTCAAGTTCATCAATTTCAACACGGTTGTCAACCTTGTGTAATCATCTTTACACCTTGGGTACAAAGGCGTCTTTGTATCACTGCACAAGGTTTCACATGTGGAAGAGAACTGTATAGAGGACTCAGATCTTATGTCATGAAATATATCCAAAATTCTATCACTAAAGTCTTCGTTCACAACATTCTCCTTTCTAGACAGTGTAGTCTTTCTAATTTTTCCATGTCATGTCCAATTTGTATACCTTAAATTTATCCTATCACAGATAAGATGCTCTCTTATCTCCAGAATACCCCACTGACTATTATTTAAGCATTTGACATAATGACAATAATGCAATCTATCTCTTTTACTATAGACATTTCTCTTAGCAAACTCAAGAAACCTTTCAATACCATCCTCATATTTTTTACTAATTCTTTTAGCTTTTATCTAACTACGATCTATTATTCTGCAGAGTCAATGAATATAGTTGTCAAGCTCAATTTTAATACTTTAATTCAAATATTCAAATAAATAAAATAATTAAGTGTTAGTCAATAAATTAAAATTGACTAACACTTAATTACACATTAAAGGGAATGTCTTTTTTTTTAAAAAAAATTGACAGAATTTCTCCTTAAATATATAACAAAGGAAAAATTAGAATGAATGACCAAGAAAAAGTTATATTTATTATAAATGATCTTAAAAATTGTAATTATTTAAAAGGACCATAAATAAAAAAATAAATATTCAAGCACCAAATTGAAAACAAAATGCACTCAAAATTTTTAATCAAAAATAAAATTTTCTTCAACCACTAAGATGAGGATAAATTTTATATCTCTATTTTTTTCTCAACCCTATTTGTCTTATTAAATATATTATAATAAAAAAATCAAATATATAATTACTTTTAAAAGTTAGATTAAGTAATTCTACAAAAAATTGTCATACATAGTGAATGAGTGAAAATGTTGATAAAAATATATAATCAGACAAGCATAAATAAATTTTGTAAAATAGTTAAACAAAAATTATTTTTATTATTTTAATCAAAATTAAAACTATTCTTGATAACATATTTCAACATGCATAAAGTTTTATGAAAATTTTAAATTAATTTAATATAATTTCTTTTCGAATACTTGCTTGTAATTTAATGTCATGGAAAAAAATAAAAATAGATTTGTATATAAAATTTAGCTTTTTGTAAAAATAAATTAAAACACATACTTAAAGAAATAAAATTTTATAAAAATATTATTTCCTTTAGGTCTTCCATTCTAATTTTTCCTATAACAAATAAAAAATTATTTAAAAAATAGACAAATCAATCAATCAACCAAACTAACAATGTAATAAACAAAGACATTATAAATTTAAAGAAATATAACAAATAAAACAAAAGTAACAATTTAATCTCAAATCAATTCAATGAATAAATATTCTTAAAGCCAAAACTTTTGAATCCAAAATGGGAATACAAATGATATTCATTTACCATAAAATTTTAAACGACACTTTATTATCAATCAAAGTTCATAACAAAAAAAAATTTCACAAAACACTAAACAAATTATTTATTAGTGAATTCTCAAATTTATTACTAAAAAAACCAAAAATTTGAAAAAATATAAAAAAATTATTAAAAAACTTTAAATATTTAAACATGTTTCTAATGCGGTATATAAGAAAGAATTGATGTTTTCTAACACTAAATGCTACCAATCAACATCTCAAGCACATAAAAAATACAAAATAAACAATGCAAAACATCCAAAATGTAAAACCAGTCAACCTATTTGAAATACAATCTGTAAAAACATTCAAGAAACCAAGAAAAAAAATGAAAAGAATGAAAGAAGAGGATACTCATTCAGTGGAGACGATTCAAATGCGAGAAGATGGGCTTTGAAGACGGTGGCAAGCAACCACAAGTGAAATGGAGGAGTTTAAATGACAGGAAAGAGGATGGAATGGCCGGTAATAGCAGTTTGGTGGTGGTGGGACAGAGGGAGACCATTGCGCACTAATATGAAACTGTGAAAATGAGAAAAACTAAACCCTATCGCGCTATAATTTAAAATTTTCCACTGCAGTTTTCTTAGTAACCGTAGTGGAAAGTGAAGAGTCACGTCTTTTATTTACAAAAATGCCACCGCTTTTTTTTTTTACGGCATTTTTATTCTTAACTGCCGTTGTTTAGCGTTGTTCAATTTTTTTTCCTAGTAGTGTTCCATGAATGTACATTCAAAACAGATTATACATAAATAGAAATTTTTTTTGAAAAAAATTTATCAATTAACATACCATACAGTGAATAGGAGTGCATAAGGAAATTTACGTACACGATATGATATGAAAAAGAAACAACGATAACCATAAATATATTATAATTCCCATCCTTTAATTTATTAGTAAATTTTTTTTCTTTTTATGAAAACTGTTTCAATAATATCTCCTTTTATATAAATATAATTTTAAATGTATTTTTGTTCAGATTATACATAAAGAACACAAATGTATATGATTATATACATACATATGCATAAGGGGGAAAAAAAAAGAAGAAATATTGAGTTACATTAAGTTATTCTAGCTTTCCAATGCTCACAATTCAAATTTAGGTTGATTTTGACCCCTGCAGTCTTTGTGACTGGAGGGGATGCATTCCCAAATGTTATGGTGAACATGTATTGTCTTTTCATATAGTAATTGGTAATACGGAAAACTCATGGACAACAGTAGATCCTTCGTGCCACTAAGGGTATAGCAACTAGGAAGTTGCGTAGCAAAACTACATCATTTTAATGATAGATTTGTAATGTAGCTATCTGCCCTGTATGTCACTAATACTAACTTCATTGTCGGAAAATAATCTTTGACTTTCTTCTGGGGTCAATTGATTCAATATACTCTGCCACTGGATGAATGGAGGTTGCCTTGGGGGAGGAAGATCTACAATCTCAATATTAAGCAGAGAAACTACAATGCTCATACTTTTGGCCTCTCTTGCCACGGCTTGTACACATAGAAGTCCTATGTGTATGCACTCAATAGATCCTTCTCCATGCTTTGATCAGATATTTCAGGATCTATTAGCTGTACATTGTTTTCTTCATTCCAAAATTTCCATGCCTAAAACACATAACAAAAGAAGCATATATAATTATTAGCTTTAGAGCTAAGAGTTAAATTGACAATTAATAATAGAACTCTTTAATTAGGTATTAAGGAAGTTAATAAATAGTAGAGACTTACAAATCCTAAAAGGCTAAGAGAGTGCTCATTATGATAAAAGCTTGAGTTTCTTCTTCCACTTATAATTTCTAATAGTAAAACTCCAAAATTAAATATATTTGATTTCTCTAAAAATAATCCTTTTATTACATATTCTAGAGACATATAACCACTGTATTGTTGAGGAAAACAATCAATTGTTAGAATACTCACTACTCAATATGCTAATGTAATATTAGATAGGGAAGAAAAACTTACTAGGTTCTAACAACTCTTCTTGTGTTAGCTTGATTTTCACTTCCTTTGAAAATTCTAACCATACCAAAATCTGATATTTTTGGAATGAGGTTCTCATCTAGCACGATATTGCTTATATTTAGATCTCTATGTATAATTTTTAGTCTAGAATCCCTATGAAGATAAAGTACTCATCTAGCTATTCTTTCAATTATGACAAAGCGCTTTCCCCAATCTAAAAGCTTTCGATTTGGTGGATCTACACTAATAGAGAGAGGGTTATATAAGTTTTGTCCATACCATAAAGAAAACTCATAATATCTGTGACAAAGACTCCTACAAACAAGTGTTTTTTCCTGTTATTTATATATATATATATATGTATGGCTAGAAAGAGCTAGAGCATAAGGGATCAGAAAAACCAACCAAAAATAAATGCATCTAAACTTTTATTTGAATGTACTCATAGATCAACATCTTTTCTTCTCCTTCAATACGGCAACCTAAAAGTTGTACAAGATTGTGATGTTGAAGCTTGGAAATGACAACCAGCTCATTCATGCATTCCTCTTGTCCGTGTCCCGATGCTCTTTATAATCTCTTAACTGCTATAACCTGACCATCTTGCAGTGTTCCCTTGATGACAACCCCATGAAACAACTGTCATACATAACGAATTTGAATTTTTGGAATTAAACTGATCAATAATTCATGAAATCATATTCCTTATAGACTGGAGAGAAACCGCCTTGCCTAAGTTTATTAGTCAATTGAAAGGTGTTTGTAGCCATTGCAACCTTTTCAACATCGTAGACCAATAACTCCTGAAACTTAACTTGTGACAATTTTCCACTAATACTGCCACTTGTTTTGTTATTCCATTTTCCTGCTGATCATATCAATTTAACGAATTTATAGAGGGGGAGAGAGATAGAGACACTTCATTTGAAAAATATGGAAACATAAATGTTTAAAAAAGATCTACTCATATCAATATTGCTTTTGAAAATGCCTTCAGTACTTGAACTGTTAATGCCTATGTCATTTTAAAGTTAACAGATGTGGTAGGATTTGAAATTAATAAGATGATATAGAAAGTAATAGTACCTAAATGTTTTGCTTTCCATTTCCATAAGAAGTATGCACAAGTGACGTTGATAATGGTAGTTCCTATTACTGCAATAATGACAATGATGAATGTCCTATGCCTCTTCTTATCTGTCACAAAAGAAAAAGAATGTAAAGAAATTCTTGCCAAAAAATAAAGTTTGAAGAACTAAATTCCAAGTTTTCTAAGAAAATTTAGATACCAGAGTCTGAATAAGCTACACGAATATATAGGTCAATTCCCCCATTTGAGAACTGTTGTATATCAATTAGATTTTCTTTCCAAGTCATATAGCCAAGCATTGAATTATATGAATATGCTTTACAAGTACAATTCTCCAAGCACTGCATTCTGCATTTGTCTTCTGAATTGGATGATTGTTCTCCAAAGCCTGGTGCTTTAACATTTTGCAGATGGAATAATGTATCTTTCTTTCCATTGGAACTCCCATTACTCACTTTCTTACATTGCAGAGTTGATTTCCTAACACAACCACCTGTCCAATTTTTTCTATTACATTCCTCCCTATTTCTTGGTTCAAACCCATTCAAACAACTGCAAATTGGTGCACTCTTTGAATTGCAAATTCTGAATTCTCCACATATACCGTAAACATCACAATCTGAATTTTGAACAAGATTGGTTTCTTGCCATTGCCTCTTAGTATCATTCCATTGCTTATGTAATAACTTTCCTTTTGCATTCAAAACAACTATCTCTTTGTAAAAAGAACTTTTCATGACGTTTGTTTAGACAAATGCCATGAAAATAATTACCAGGTTGAAGGGTTTCTTTCATTTTTAATGGTTTTTTTTAAAACTGCTGTGAAAGGTTATATCAACCACCAAATATTTTACAAAATTGTCACTGCTTTTTTTATGGAGCTATTTTTTTCCCATAATCACTATGAATGAGCATCACCTAAAGCCTTTTTTGTAGTAGTAAATGCCACTATAAATTTGAATTTTTGATGCTATCTCTTGCCTCTAAATAAATATGGGGTTTCGTAAATTTTATTTTCCTTTCTCACTTAAATTTTTGGGGAATTTTTACTTTTTTGTGATTATTTTCAATCATTAAAAATTTATTATATTTGCATGTATGGCTTATACCAATGTAATTTGCCTAATGAAATCTTAAAAATATAGTAGAAGAGTAACAAGTTCTTTGAATTGTGGCAGGCGCAGAACTTTTTTTGTTTTACCAAATAGCCCGCGTGTGACACCCGCTCTTTTAAAACCATTTTAGATTAAATCCAACAATTTATTTGAATGATTAACCATTATAGAAAAGAAGAAACCTTAAAATTTTAAAATCGCTATCATGGTTAAAAGAAATAAATTATAATAAGAGTAACATCGATCGTTACCTTGGGCCTTGGACTTTCAAAGTCCAGAAATATCATTCAACCATTAGTCCAAACCAAACTTATATTTTCAAACATACGAACTGATAAATCAGTTTAATATAAACTATAGAGCTCATTAGTCAAAAGTCAACACTTTCGAAGGAGCGTTACATGCAGAGTCTAAGATGTCTCGGGCCTCCTCGCGACCCTGTCATACTAGATAGTAGTAATTAAAAGTATTCTTTTACATCATGATAGTAGATGAGCCCTATGTGGCAATATATAACAAGTCAGCACATAGAACAAAAGCAGGCAGGCTATACAAGCTATAACAGCACACTATGCCTCCGGAGCCTTCCCTGACGGGCCACCACCTGAACTATCGCCTGAAAATGTTAAACCACGGGGTGAGACAAACGCCTCAGTAACCAACTTTCCAACTCATCATACATACTAACATGTGCCCGTGAGGTGTCAAGTGGGATAATTATTAAATCTCAATGTCTATATACCAATGAAAATACAAATATGTATACTCAAATAATCTCAATAATCCAAACCCTCATTACGGGGCTAACACACAAGCCACATAAGTCTATCCCTCACTATAAGAGATCAAACCGACCTATAGGCCTATCCTACACTTTGGGGGACGATTAAATTGTCACAAAGATCCATCCCTTATTACAGGCCTATCCCACACTTTGGGGGACGAATAAAAAGCCACAAAGGTCTATCCCTTACTCTAGGGACGAAGGAAGAAGCCAACCAATGTGCACCAATGGCGGCCTTACCGCGTGGTAGGATAGCGCTCAATCCAAAATCCAAATAACAACCAACCATTCACAATATAACAAAAATGTCTCAATCTTTTCCCAGTATAATCCATAAGATATAAATCATATATCTTTTCCAAACTTCTTAATCACAATTCCAAAAATCCCACAAGACAATTTTCATAGCTCAAAAGATATAACATATCTATTCAAGCTCCAAATATCAAATATTATTCTAAAAACAGCAAAATACTCACAAACAACATATTAGCACATATAACAAGTGGAAAGTGGTTACCTCTCGCCAAAGCAATACTAGGGGTGCACATGGGCAGGGCTGGGCAGGGCAAGACCCCTGCCCGATGCCCGGCCCGAAATATGAACGGGCTGCATTTTGCAGCTCGCTGCCCGGCCCTGCCCATAGAAGCCCTAACCATTTTGGGTTGGGCATGGGCGGACTGGGCAGGGCGGGCTTCGTTGCCCAAATAGTGATGACCTATTGATATCACATGTAAAAAAACTTTCGTCCATAACTGAAAATTACATTTCATAGGATGTACTCAATAAAGCTCATGAAGAACAAGTTAAAAGCAAGATACTATTGCTTTTTTTAGAAAAATTAGACCCCTAAGATGGAAAACTAACAGACATGTAACAATAATAAATTAAATTGCAAAGATGAGGGAATAACTTTTTTTTGGGTAAAGAAATGTAATATATCAATATTATTTTATAAATTATAATATATATAAATATAATCTGGGCAGGGCCAAATGGGCAGGGCAGCATGTCCCGCCCGATGCCCAGCCCTGCCCATGAAATGCCCAGCCCAAAGATGCCCATTCTTTTTCAGGCTCCTTTTTTTTGGGCTGGGCAGGGCAATTTTTCTTCGGGCTTGGGCGGGCTTAGCGGGCATTTGGGCTTCATGCACACCCCTAAGCAATACTAAGGATTACCACAAGGTCAATCCTTTGCTCAACCAATAATTAATCTACACAATTAATATAACCACATATTAATATAAACTAATTAATTAATTAATTAAACTTCTCTATATTATTTAAATTTTTACTCTAAATTCCCGCAATTCTCATAACCCAAAAATTATTAAGTATTTTAGAAACAACTTAAAATTTCTAACAACCCCAAATTATTTATTTACCACCTCCAAATTATTTACCTTAATAAAAAGGATTTTCAACAATTTCCAAATATAAAATTATTATGTTATAAATTCTAAAAATACTCTTTTTAAGTTTAAACCTCAAAATCAAACTATCAAAAATTTAATAATACTTCAAATATTTCTAACTAAATAATATAGTCAAAACTTTAATGGTACAACTACCATAAATATATATTTCCATAAATAATAGATTTTTTAGCTACAATAATTATTTTAAAACCTCCAGTCACCCAATAAATAAAACTAGACCGATTAAAATTTTAATAATATATCAAACAATCCAAATAAATTACTTAACTTGAATTTAATCGGTAAAAATATAATATAAATCATATATAACAGATTTTTCAACTAGAAAAATTAATTTAAATACTAAAAACCAACAAATGGACAAATCTAACCGATTAAAATTAACAACTCATTCACTTCTAAATTTCTATAGTCATCTTTTGTCAAAACTCAATACTTAGATCATATATAAGTCTCAAAATTTTCTTCAATCACTATAATAATAATGTAAATAGGAAGCTCAAAATATATAGGAAATATTCATAAAGAAAGTTTGATAACAAGAAGTAATTTTATGTACCTAAAATATCTTCAAAACTTGTTCTTTCCTTCACTGGTATGCTCCTTTCGCTCTTGCACATGCACAAAACTCTCTTTCCTTCTTTGCACTCTCATTTTTAGCCTCCCTCTCTCTCTTTTATCCTTCATTTTCCCAACTACCTTTCATTTTTTTCTTCCCTCATTAATTCCTCTCCCCCCATTTTCTTCCTTCCCTTTTTCAACGGTTCAGCTTTCCACCGAATTCGGTGGAAAGCTGTGACCTTTTTTTTTTTTAATATATATATAATATATTAAAATATTATTTATTTTATTATAATAATAAATATTTTTTTTAATTATAATGAAAATATTTACATAAATCCTAAAAATTAATTTAGGATATTACACCGCGCAGCTTAATTCATCTTTACCAATGAAATCATGGAGTTAAGCCTCATGAGACAAAAGCTATTTGTTTTCAGATGAAATGGATTTCTCACTGGATGCTTATGTGAGAAGTAGAAGATTCATGGTTGAATGGGACAATTAAGCTATTAGTATCAAGTTTTGACGATGAGAAAAGTATTAGCTCTTAGGATCTCTACAAAACCAATTAAGTGCTCGAGTTCCAGCTAAAATGCTTTTAGATAAGTTATAGTTTCTCTCAATAATATTATCAAGTTTTGCTAAAAAAGATTTCTAAAGAAGTTTCTCGATAAGGTTATTGGTCACCAGTTTTCTCAATAACATTCTCTGGTTTTGAAGTGTATGAAAGAAAGTTAAAGTCTTTCAACCAATAGTTTTCAACAAAATTATTGAACTCTTCCCCGCTCGAGTTCAAACTAGAGTTTTGGCCTTTGACTTTAAAAGAAGTTCTTCTTAAAATTTAATTTGTCTTTACTCAATTTATTGAATAAATTCTCGAGTTTTTATCTTCTCCATTATTCTCTCAAGTATCTTAGCTGTTTTGTGCAAAAAGTTATTTTAAATCTTTTAAACTCGAATATATACTCAAGTTTACAGCTTCTCAAGAAACTTATCGATTTGTTCGTTTAAAAAGAATTTGCTTTCTAGCTCACTTTCACGAAAAAGTAATCAAATATCTGATTGCTCGATCTTCAATTTGAGTTTTATGATTCTATCTCTTTTTATCCAGCATTTTAACTTGATAAATTTTTCTAGAACTATATTTGGCTTTTATTGTATAATAAGGATTTCTGACATTTTACAATAATATTTTCGAG